ATATCTTTGTTTCTTGCTGTCTCTCTTGTCATGTCCCAGGCATCTTCAGGAATTCAAAAATACGTAGATGACTAATTCTAAAATTACCAGAGTGGACTTTGTTGTAATAGAAGTGCAGTGACTCGCTGTCTCCCAGAAGTTGGAAACAGATACAGTAATGGCCCAGATTTTCCTTGGTTGTTCCAGACTGCTTTGAATTTCAGAAAAAATATGATTTCAAAATTATTTTATGGGAATTATGAAAATAACATGAAATCGCTTGCTGAAAAAGGAAATATATCAAGGTTAGGAGTCAAAAAGCATTATTTCATGAGAAAACAGAGATGTAGGCTTAGTGTCCGTGCTTAGTGGTTAGGGGGCATGGTAGCATGGGCTGGTGGGTTCGAATCCAGCTGGGCCTGCTAAAACAACAGTGACAACAATAACAAAAAAATAGCCAGGCATTGTGACAGGTGCTACTTGGGAGGCTGAAGCAAGAGAAATGCTTAAGCCCTAGAGTTTGAGGTTGCTGTGAGCTGTGATGTCATAGCAGTCTACTGGCACTCTACCAAGGATGACATAATGAGACTTCGTCTCCAAAAAAGAGGGATATATTTTTATAACATCTTTTATGTGTTTTTTGTTTTAGACACGATCTCCCTGTTGGCCTGCTGGAGTGCAGTGGTGCTATCATAATAGCTCACTGCAACCCTGAACTCAAGGGCTCAAGTGATCCTCCTGAATAGCTGGGACTACAGGTACCCACCACCTCATCTGGCTAATGAGGTCTGGCTCTGTTGCTGTAGAACTCTTAGGCTCAAGCAATCATCTCACGTTGGCCTCCTAAATTGCTAGGATTATAGGTGTAAGCCATTGTACCTGGCCATTTCATATATTTGTTTTCAGTAGTATTAGAAATTTTTTGTTTGTTTTTGAGAGAGTCTTACTTTGTCACCCTCAGTAGAGTACCATGGTATCATAGCTCACAGCAACCTCAAACTCTTGGGCTCTAGCGATTCTCTTGCCTCAGCCTCCCAAGTACCTGGGACTACAGGCACCCACCACAATACCTATTTTTTAGAGAGGAGGTCTAACTCTGGCTCAGGCTGGTCTTGAACTCGTAGCTCAGACAATCCATCCACCTTGGACACCCATGGTACTAAGATTATAGGTGTGAGCCACCACGCCCAGCCAGTATTACAAAAATTTTACACTATCTTCTGCCATATTTTCAAAGGGCAGAAAGCATCTAATGAACTAACTGGGTTGCTCTAGTAAGATTATTTTCAGGCTCAGCACCTGTGGCTCAAGTGGCTAAGGCGCCAGCCACGGACACCCAAGGTGGCGGGTTCAAATCCAGCCCAGCCCGCCAAACAACAATGATGGCTGCAACCAAAAAATAGCCAGGTGTTGTGGCGGGCACCTGTGGTCCCAGCTACTCAGGAGGCTGAGGCAAGAGACTCGCTTGAGCCCAGGAGTTGGAGGTTGCTATGACTGTGATGCCACAGCACTCTACCCAGGGGGACAGCTGGAGGCTCCTGTCTCAAAAAAAAAAAAAAAAAGATTATCTTCAAAGGACAGAAAGCATCTAATGGACACAGAACTATACTGGGTTGTTCTATTAAGCAAACTAAACTCTTTTCAGTGGGTTTTATGATTAAAGAAATCAAGGTGACATGAGCTGACTCAAAAGAACATCAAAGTACACACTGATTAATACTAAAGGATTATTTGTCATGTAAGAAACTGCCAGGTTAATTATGTTTTCTGTTTTATAGATTAATGTGAAGGCTGAGTATACAAAGCTGAATCTTCCAATGGATGTGAGTGGAAGACTGCAACAGGGTTTGTTTAAAGTCTTGTTATACCTCATCAGAGTTGTATAGTGTTTTTTTCAAATGATTATACTTTTTAATGAAATTCCTTTGCACTCATGCTTGCATAGTGTAAAACAGTGATCTTAAAGAGAACCGTGTCAATAAAATAGTAAAATCATCATTATGAAATAATACTGTCAACTACTTAGACATTTGTCCAATAGTAAATCCTTCCCAGAGTCCACTCCAGCAAGCTGTGTGCTTTAAATTTTGGTTACTGCCCTTTTGGAGCTTATATCTTATTAAAGAATAATCCACAGGGCAGTGCCTGTGGCTCAAAGGAGTAGGGCACTGGCCCCATATACGGGAGGTGGTGGGTTCAAACCCAGCCCTGGCCAAAACTGCAAAAAAAAATAATGCACAGACCATGGGAAAAGCTCTGTTAGAAAACAATCTGTCTCACATTTCCCTACTACCTTTTCATATTTATGTACTTTGGAACCTTATACATCTATCACTAACTCCAATTATACTGGTATACATTTTCTGTTTTTTGATGTTAAGATTTTCTGGTTTTCTTTTCTTTTTTTTTTTTTTTTTCTGAGACAGAGTTGCTCGATGTCACCCTTGGTAGAATGCCATGGTATCACAACTCACAGCAACCTCAAACTCGTGGGCTTAAGCGATTCTCTTGCCTTAGCCTCCCAAGTAGCTGGGAATACAAGTGCCCACCACCATGCCTGGCTATTTTTTGGTTGTAGTTGCCATTGTTGTTTGGCAGGCCTGGGCTGGATTTGAACCTGCCAGCTCCAGTGTAAGTGGCTGGTGCCTTAACCACTAAGTCATAGGCACAGAGCCTATATTTTCTTTTTTTGAGACAGACTCTCACTGTGTTGCTCAGGCTGAAGTGTAGTGGCTATTCACATGTGCAGTCTTGGTGTGCTACATCCTTAAGCAGCTGGACTCAAGCAGTCCTGTCTCAGCCTCCTGAGAAGCTGAGACTAAAGGATGTCTTCTTTACCCTTTCTTCTTCATTCATTTTCTAATTTCAGCAATCTGAAAAAAAGTGAAAAAAACCAATGTTTGCAGATGGAACTCAGGAGGGGGTAGGACTTTACTGTGAAATCACTTGTATATGAATAATGATGTGGGGGGCTGGCATGGTGACTTATACCTGTAATTCTAGCACTCTGGGAGGCCAAGGCAGGTAGATTGCCTGAGCTTAGGAGTTTGAGACCAGCATGAGCAAGAGTGAGACACTGTTCAAAAAATAGTGGGGTGTTGTGGCAGGCACCTCTAGTCCCAGCTACTCCAGAGGCTGAGGCAAGAGGATTGATTGAGCCCAAGAGATTGAGGTTGCTGTGAGCTGTGAAGCCACAGTACTCAGCACTCTACCGAGGGCGATAAAATGAGACTTTGTCTCAAAAGAAAAAAAAATGTGGGGTATCTCAGAGTGGGTCAGGAGTTAGTTGAACAGAGTGAACCTTTCACCAAAACATTTATAATTTACCATGGAGGGGAAAGAAAAAGCACAGGGGGGTTGGTGCCTTAGAAAGGAGGGCCCAAAGACAGAAACAGAGATTTCCTTTTTCATGTCAAAAATATTATTATTATTATTATTTTTTTTTTTTTTTGAGACAGAGCCTCAAGCCGTCACCCTGGTAGAGTGCCATGGCATCACAGCTCACAGCAACCTCCAACTCCTGGGCTCAAGCGAGTCTCTTGCCTCAGCCTCCCAAGTAGCTGGGACTATAGGCGCCCACTACAACCCCTGGCTATTTTTGGTTGCAGCCATCATTGTTGTTTGGCCGCCCTGGCTGGATTTGAACCCGCTAGCTCAGGTGTAGGTGGCTCCTGCCTTAGCCGCTTGAGCCACCGGCGCTGAGCCAAAAATATCATTTTAAAGAAAGATTAAGTGTGTTTCTTATTCTGCCTAAATGGCTAGGTCTCCACGTTCTTTTCAGTCAATATGCAATCCTGTTAATCTGAAATGCCTGAACTTCTTGGTACTTTGTGCTTTAGAGGGTTTGAAAGATAGAGAAAAAGCCTAAGAATTTCTTTATTTTATAGAGTAGATAATGAGGAAAAGGCTCTGAGAGCCCAGGTGGGCTGGCTCCTAGTAGAGTGTTGCCATCATGCCGCCTCTGCAGTCCCCAAAATGAGCATTTAATGCATGGATGGATGGCACAATGAATCACCTTTAAAAACTGGCTAGGTGTCTACAGCTCAAGTAGCTAGGGTGCCAACCACATACCCAGGAGCTGGTGGGTTCAAATCCATCCTGGGGCCTGCCAAAGAACTACAATTAAAAAAAAAAAAAAAAGGCCAGGCATTGTGGCGGGCACCTGTAGTCCCAGCTACTTGGGAGGTTGAGGCAAGAGAATCGTTTAAGCCTAAGAGTTGGAGGTTGCTGTGAGCTGTGATGCCATAGCACTCTACCCAGGGCTTGAGTCTCCGGCTCAAAACTTGAACTACCAGTGCCCAAGCCACAGCCTGGACTAACAAAACCAGAAACTGGAGTGCTCTGGGAGACTTTTAAGTACTTTTTAAAGCTATGCGGGAGATTCCCACAAGCAATCAAGGATGGGAACTACGATTTAATAAAAATTTCTCCTCCAAATGTGATATTTCATTTTTAATGTATAATAGTGTTCTGAAAGATTACCATCATACATGTGTATATATATACACGCACATACACATATAGAGGGTGCCAAAACAATGCATATACTCATTTTAAGGAAAAAAACATTAAATTTGTGATACTCAAGTCACGTATGCTGCAATTACAACAGGCGCTCAAAGTGATTTGTATTCATCTTGTGTTAATTGAATATTACAATTTTAATAGTTTTTCCTTCCTTAAAATGTGCATACATTTTTTTGGCACCTTCCATATATATGTATACCTAGGAATTAAAAAAATAATGTCAACGAAGAGGTTTAAACACCTTCAGATTGGAACTCCTCCCCAACCGATCCGAGGACCCAGGACCTACTTTCCCCGACTTGACTCCCTTCCTCCACCTTCCGCGGCTGAGGGCAGGCGCGTTCCTCTTTCGCCCCCTCACAATCCAGAGCTCGGGAACACCCTGGACCTTCTGCGGCCACCGCCAGGCTACGCTCTGCGTCCAGGCTCGGCCCCGCCCCTGAAGGATAGGCCCCGCCCCCAGATTGGCTCAGCCCCCGTCGCTCCGCCCTCGCTTCGCAGCCACCCGCCGCCCGCCGCCCGGGTTGTCCAAGATGGTGGGCACTCGGCGGGCACCGCTTGCCCTCCAGCTGCTCCTTCTCGTGGTGCTGCCGGCCGCCGCGCGGCTGACGACTGGCGCCCCTGAGCCGCTGCCGCTGTCGTCCCGAGCCCCACAGGTAGGGCGGGGCAGGCACGGCTGGCTGTTCTTGGGCTCGGACCCTTGGGGAGGCCCGGCCGCCGGCTACGACGCCTCCCACGTCCTTCAGGCGGGCAGAGGCGGGGTCTGGGTCCCTCAAAGAGGAATGGGGAGCAGCCACCGAAGAAATGGGGGCGGTGTCGCAGAATGGGAGTGGTGTGGGAGGGGGCCGAGGAAGCAAACAGAGGGAACCGAAAGGGGCTGGTTTACCGCGTGGTTGATCTTCGGGTCACAAAACTTAAGTCAAAGCGGCCCGAATCGTTGCTTGTCCTGACGTTGCATTGCCGTCTAAAATGCGTGATGCCCGCGATCTCAGGCTTTTGTAATGGCGCCGTCCGGAGGTAGCGCCCGGCCCTCGGGCAAGGCAGTGTTTGTGTCCCCGAGAAATGTGGAAACTGCCCAGTAGGAAAGCGGGTTTGCAGCCACCTGTGCCTGCTCGGCGTGGTGGGCGGGGAGGCGCGGCTGCGGGAAGACCTGGCGCTCACCAACTTCGTCTCTGTCGGTGTCAATGAAGTGATTCTGCGAGCGAGACGCTACCGGCATCGCCTGGGAACTTGGTGCGGCCTGTCTGGGGGCGGGGCCCAGCTTTGTGAGTCAACATGCCTTCCAGGTGATTCTGATCCGCTGGACTTTGGGAACCATTGCATCATCGTATTGAAAGGTGGTGGATTCTCACCATTTCGCCGTGAAGTCGTGCCGATCTAAACCAATATTTACCTTTCTTTAGTTGAATGTATGGAAGGGAAGTTTGAATATTTAAAATTTGCGTTTTCTAAGAATGACAAGAAACTACGTTGGTAAGCCGTACTGGTCTAGACTTGAACTAGAATACCATAAATACAAAGGTGACTGGCTCGGCACCTGTGGCTCAAGTGGCTGAGGCGCCAGCCATGTACACCCAAAGGTGGCGGGTTCGAATCCAGCCCGGGCCCGCCAAACAATGACGGCTGCAACCAAAAAATAGCCGGGCGTTGTGG